GTGTATGTGCTATTATTTGTTGTATATTATTTGTTGTATATTATTTGTTGTATATTATTTGTTGTATATATGTATGTCTGTTTCTTTTCTGGTTTTCAGGGTGCTTGGTGATCTCTTATAAGTCATATACTTAGACTTGGGTAAACTTAAGATAGGACGAGTTGTATAGTCATGTTAACATTGAGGGAGTAATTCCAAAAAAGGAGACATGAGATCCCCCACTCAGTGGAGACCCTTTTGACTGTAGTATTTGTTTACCGAGCGATCGGGAAGACGTGTTGATTTTGACCCGGGAGCCTGCGAAGCTGAGAAGTCGTAGAACCCTTAACCCATTTTAGCCTTTTAGGTGTAGTGCGAAGACAATAGCGGAGCAGTCCAGAAATATTTATTACGCGGTGATGCACTCAGACGAGTTTTTCCTGAGAATATTTCTAATTACCGAGCTAATTGGGACGTTGGTAATATCCGAAGGAAGATCTTGCTCATCATCATCCTCTGGTAGGTCACACCAGCACTCACTAGCCTGAAGGGAATGACAGTCTACTGGTGATTGGGGTTCTCGGTCATGAAGGTTGTCTTTATCTGGTCGGGTCCAAACATTGATATTTGATTATAGCCGAATAGGCGTCCATTAACTAGAGCAACTGATAATTAACTGAATTATTTATGAGCTTATGAATGTTTGGAAGTGAATAATAATCCCTTGGGAAGACTCTATTAAGGTCGGCATAGTCAACACATATCCTCTATTTTCCTGAGGCCTTCATCACTATAACAATGTTGGACAACCATTATGTATACTTAGCTTCAGAAACAAATTTGGCATCCAACAAACCCTTAATCTTGCTAGAGATGGACTAATCATTTTATGGGGATTACCTTCTCCGATGCTGAGAGAGGTAGCATTTTCTGACTTCCATATTTAATAGATGGAGCGCTATGCTATGACCAGTGACGGACATCTCATGTGGGGTTATAGAAAAAAGGTCAGCATTCGCTTGGAGGCATTCAATCAAGACGGTTCTTGCCTCCAAGGGAAGCTTGACACCTATTTTTACTAACCTGGAAGGATTGTCCCAGAGCTGGACGAACTCGAACTCACCATCTGGCATCGGTATAACCTCATCTTCACGGGAGTATAGGTCGAATACATCGAGGACCCTCATATCTCCTTCTACTTATTCATCTGAGGTCATGGTCGATGCCAAAGTGTCTTTATGGATGATTTCTTTTATTCGTTTCACCTCATCCATGTTGACACTACGTGTGGATGGAATTACTTCCGCGTCGTGATAAGTGACCTTTAGGTGTATTAGGGATTCTACTTCCTTCAGTATCGCTAGGATGTATCTCCCTAGTATGCCTATAAAATTACTCTTGCACAAAAATATCAAGAAATTGATGATTACTTTCTTCTCGTGTATTGCTTCTCCAACCTCTACTGCTAGATTTATGGTTCCTTGAGGATGAGTTATCGAAGCATTGAAATATAACAAGTATCCTCCTCTATACAAATTCAGATCTCCTTGTTGGATGTCTAATAGTTCTGACGTGTTTGTGTATAGGATATTGCATAAACTTTTATCGTCTACGAGGAATCCTATTAGGTTTCAATCAATGATGGTGACTGTAAGAATAAGAGGTAGATCAAAATTTTGGAATTCCATTGACCTTTTCATGATCTAGAAAACCTAATTCCAATTGATCTCCTCCTCACTGAACACCAACATCTTCTACGAGTAGAAATCAATATGGCGAAGGACATGTGTTAGATAATGTGGTATCGTGTATAACGTCAATATGTGATATCTAGAGAATGATTAATCTAGGAGACGGATTGAAGACATATGACATGTTTATCAGAGTTATTGTCTATAGTTCTTATGTTGCTGGTGCAAATAAGAATTCGGATTGAGATTGATTAGAAGATGAAAATTTACAGAAATCAGAAGTCGCTTCCCAAAGACAACGTCATTATTCTGTTTTGGAACTAGAAATGGATGCAACTGAAGAACGGGTGATCTTGAAATGGTGGTTTTGATCTCCGTCATGGAGGCACGGGGTGGACCAGCATGGTTAACACTTCAACGCTAAGTCAGTTCAATATTCAAGATGGGTATGGTAAAAAATGGAGGTCACAGAATGTACCTTTCTTTTGCGTGTGAACTGATTTTATACCCTTGGTCAAGTGGAGTGGATTTGGTATCAATTGAGTCTTAACCACTTAGGCATTTGGTTGGCACATAACACACAAACACAACAAACACAATATATATATATATTGCAGGTGTGTGTGTGTGTGTTCCTCCTGCAAGAGCGGGGAGACTCATAGGACCTAGTAGGTATATTACAAGTTTGGGGGTGAGGGCTAGATCACGGAAGTGAGTAGCCCTTAATAGTGTTTTTTTGAGGTTATTTAAGGGATTATCTCACGTGAGGTGAGGGGCCCTGTTGGTGGTCGGCGATTCTAGGTTACAGGCGGGTGGTTAGTGTTAGAACAAGATTTGGTTCTGCAATATTATCTGAGTTTTGATGATAACAAATGAGTATGTTTATATGAACAATTTTGATACTCTAATGTTTGTTATTGTTGATTACTTAACAAACAGGTTCTGCTTCTGATGGATGGCGTGGCCAAGATATTAGAAGAGAATTAGTTTCGCTTCTGCGCTACACAAGTTCTGTTGAACAGTAGCAAAACACTCCGGAAGGCTCTGAAGTGTAAGCTCTGATGTTTTGTCTAAAGAAACCAGTCATAAGATTTGAAGATAGAAGTTGCTACTTAAGTCCAGATGCTGAAGACTCGTGTTTCTAAAGATAACGGGTTTTAAAGAAACAGTCATAAGATCTGAAGACAGAAGTTTCTACTCAAGTCCATATTCTAAAGACTCAAGTTTCTAAAGGCCCAAGGTTCTAAAGACAAGGGTTCTAAAGACCAAGTGATGAAGACTCTAATGACATAAGTTCTAAATACTTGAAGTTCTAAAGACCCAAGGCTCCAAGAAAAGATTCTCACAACCAAGTGCTGAAGACTCTAAAGACGCAGTTCTGAAGACTTTGAAGACTTGAAGTTCTGATAACCTTGTGTTATGTTCTCATTTCTAAACTCATACTCGTAGAAGCCTCTTAAGTGCAAAAGGAAAGAATATAATGTTAACATGATACAAATAGTAAATGGTACAATCAACGTTTCATTCCACTACCATGAAAGGACGGGCGTGTCGCACGATCTTGTCCCCCACATTACTATTCAAGCTGTCAATGTTTCTATAAATTCCAAGAGTACCCCTTAATGGATATATTATTTTATTGGCTATATAAATGCTTGAAGACTAAGAGAGAAAGTTAATAATTTACTGAATAATCATGCATAAACGTTGTTCACAGCTTTCATATTCTTAAGTCATTGTTTTTAAAATAGTTTACAGATTCATCTTGTATAGAAGGAGTACTCTTGTAAACAAAACTTGTATTCAAACGGTTGTTTGATTTTCCTTAAGGTACCAGGTAGGTCTGTATTCTTAAGAAGTATAGGACTTACAAGTTTTAGAGGTTGTTAGTCACTTGCGGATAGCTTGTGCATTGTAATAATCAGGTCGATTATTATTTGATATTCCTTAAGGGACCGGGTAGGTCTGTATCCTTAAGAAGTCTTTGCTTTCGAGTCTTAGAGGTTGTTAGTCACTTGCGGGTAGCTTGTACAAATTGGAATAAGTTTGGCTATAGTGAATTAACTCCTCGATTGAGTGAAGCAAAAACACCTTGGCGGGTGGACTAGACTAGCTTGATAATTTTCAAGTGAACTAGTATAAACATATATTGTTCTTTACTTCCTGTTCTTACTTATTGTTATTATCAAGAGTTAAGGAAAAAAGATTTTAACTTAAAGGGGAATATTTTTAAAGAAAAGTTTTTGTTTTAAAAACCCAATTCAAACCCCTATTTTCTTGTGTTTTTCACACCTTCAGTTAGATTTACGCTGTTAAGGATACTATGAATGAAGTGTTCTATGAGTATTAGTAAATTTATATGATTTAAGAATCCCCTTTTCCCTTAAGATATGAGGTATTTATAATGGTCTCTAGGACCTAAGGCGTTCACCCTCTGGACGTGGTCTTAACCACTCCTCTCTTATTGGGGAGGTTATTGGCCGCTTATCTTCACGGAGTCAGCGGTGGCCCTTTCTAGCTAGATCCACGTTGGAAGAAGTTCTTTGGTGACTCTCTTAAAATACACTCTAAGGCGGCCCGGATGTTGGGTGATGACTCCCTTAGTGTAGATCATTACCAAATATGACACTACACGGTCCCTAAAGCATGATGACTTTTTCTTTAAAGGGAAAAGTGTTTAAAACATATTTCCTTTTTCGCACGTGCACCTCGCCCATTCAAAGATCCCCGTAACTGGGAATGGGTTTGATGGGTGGTTTTTTCCTCATAGGTGAGTCTCTTAGTGAAGGGCAAACGAAATATTAGGCGAGTCCCTCAGGCGAAGGCATATGAAATAGTAGGCGAGGTATTTGGTTCTAATCCCCTCTCGGCGAGTCAGCGTCCAAGCATCCCTTGTTTAATTAAGGTAAGTTATATGAGACGTCAACCAATCACTATGCGGGTGTGTTCTTCTTCATTTAATGTAATCAATGATGGTCTGCTTTTCTAAATTGCAAATGGTAGTTGCACGTGTAGGTAGCGTGTAAAGTTTCACAAAACCCTGAGGGGTTTTGGAGTTCTCCTATAAGAAGGATTTTCTCTTCACATTCTGTTTTACTTTCTCCAAACTTTCTAAAGCCATCTCCTTTGGTCCTCTCAGCGAAGCTTTCAACCTTCCCATAAGTATGAGATTATTTATTTTCTCTAATTTCGGGTGCCATGTCTTAGAGGATTTGTTGGGTCGAAGCTCCTCGTTTTTAGGAATAGGATTTCTAGGTAGATAGTTCCTTTATGATGGTTGTGGCAGTGGTGGCGACTTCTTTTTATTCTATTGTTTTTCCAAGAAAAACAATGTCTTCCTCCTCTGTCGTTCCTAAAGACGCGGGTGACTTCGTCTCTATTTACACTTCGAGGAACAAATTCGTGTCTTTCTGGAAGGATGGGTGTCTCTTCCTTAGAGGATGGGGATCAGGTTATCCTGGAGACTTGTGTACCCTAAGAGAGGGTAACCTTGATAGTCTCGTCTCATCCCATCCCCCTCACTGCATTTCTACTTTTACCCTCTCTTTATCAAAGATATGAGAGTCCTTTTTCCTCTTTCTACCTTTTCCAGAGATCCTCGGGGTGATTAGTATCACCCATTCTCAATTATTCCCAAACAACTGGGGTTACATTATGGATTTCAAGATGGTTTGTGAGAAGCTTAACATCAACATGATTGTTTGGGTTTTTTCGCTTTTTTTGTTACCAAGCCAGCGAAAGGTAGTTGGGAGACCCTGGGAAACCGACAGCCCAAGGGTCAGTTTACCCCTCACTCTAATAACTATAAATATTTGAGATATAAGTTTCTTCGGGTAAGAGGTTGAAAGAATTCCCTTAGAATGTTGGATACTGACGGAGTTCCCCTTTTTCTGTTATCCTAGACGGAGGACCCAAAGATAGTTATAGACTACGACTGGGTGTTCCTATCTCTTGAGGATAGAAGATCCATTCACTTTCTATGGAAGTTCTAGGTCATGGACTGTCGGGTAGTTATTAAGCTTTAGCGAGAGGGTGGTGGGCACCTTGCTGCCTATATAGGTAGTCATTTTTTTATTTCCTCTTGTGGAACCTTATACCATTTTCTGACCCATGTTTTGTTTATATAGACCAAATGGAAAAAACCACTTCCCAAGAACGCATGGAGATATGGGAAAAAATTAAGTCCACCAGTTCAGACGTTAATAATCCAAATAGCCAGCTTAGAGGGTTGATTATCTGAGAGCATAAAATAGAGGCCTAGACATCAACCTCTGAGTTACCGGAGGCTAAAGCTCAATAAGTGAGGAAAGGTTCCCCTTATGTTGTTGGCCAGGAGGCGGAGCCCATTGGGGGTGCGAATCTTACGTACTGGTTGAATGATGTTAATCCTGACCTCCTTCGCGTAAAAGGCCTGCACCTCCCTTTTTCCAAAGAGTTTTCTGCTGCGTACCGATCCCTTTATTCACAATCTTCATCGGCTATCATGAATATGAAATAGACCATTCTATTAAGGGTGTTGATGCTTCAGAATGTTGAACATGGGCAGTATGAAAAGGATGCTAGCAACTTAGAGGCGAGGCTTCAGGAGCAGACAAAGGCTTATAATGAGAGTTAATGACTATTGCACTCCCTCCAGCAAGATGACGAGAAATGCGGAAAGAGGCTGTAGGATGCTTAGGCTAAAGCCAGAGAGATCTCTGGTGAGTAAAAATATATGTAGGACTCCTTGGATGCATTTCTCCTTCGGCAAAAAGATTTAGAGAATGAGGTATCAGATTTGAGTGACTGAGTGGTGTCATTTACCGGCGTGTCCTTTGAGAGGGCCAAGGAGAAAGTCCTTTTTCTATATCCTACCCAATATTTGATCCCCTTATATCCATTCAAGTTTGTGAAAGGCGGGGTGAATGAGGAGGTAACAACTTTCCTGAACCTGAGCCTTTCCTCCTTAGGAGGAAGGTGAAATCTGGGAGGTCGGTGAACCTGAGAGTCCCCAACCAGAGCATGCTATTATGGAAGAGGAAATCCAAGTAGAGTGATTTTTAGGTATGTGATTTTATGATTGGCAACAATTTTGGTAAAATGTGTTTCATGTTGAAAACATTTATCACAGACTGATGTTGAGCAAGATGTCATGATATCTTGACCAACTGGTACAACAGAGTCTACTGTTACTATTTTTGACAGATGTTGTGACATGTTATACCAGAACATCATAATAGGACAAATGTTTAAATCCTTGAAGATTGTATTTTAAAATATGAGATTCCAGATGGTTCTAGTTCTCTACAGGCGCAGCCAAGCAAGGATATTTTAGGAACAGTGCAAATTTGATTTGGTTTCATAAAAAGGATCTTGGAGACTTTTTTAGGATAATTTGAAGATTTGTTCCTATTTTTATGGAGAAGATATTGCAGCTGGTTTAGAATTATAAGATTGGATTTGATTAAAGAGTCCAAGCCCATACTACAAGAGTCTATATAAAGGGAATTACTAAACTTAGAAACTTAAGAATTTACTTTGAAAAAAACCATTTGTGGTTGGAATAAAGGTTTAGGGTTTTGAGAGTACTTTAGGTGATTTGTTTGTTTTTGTATGTCACTCGTGTATTTTTTGATACATTGAGGTAGAATGCTTGTTCATTGTTACTTTCCCATCACTCATGAGCTTTTAAGCAAAGAGTTTATTGTATGTCAAGTTATTATTCTCACTCATGAGCTTTTAAGCAAAGAGTTTAGTATTGTTTATTGGAAGTGTAATATTTTATTTTGGTTCTTGTCACTAGTTTGTCATTGTTTTATCACTAAGGTGATTGTGGGAACTGAGTGGGGGTTCTCATATCTAGGAGGTTCTTAGGTGGAAGTTGCATAAGATAGTGATTAGGTGATAAGTTGTAACCTAGGGTTAGTTTAGCTTTGAACTAATACTACCATAATAAATTTCCTTCCTGGCTTGGATGCCCCCAGAGTAAGTGATGTTGCACCGAACTGGGTTAACAATTGATTGTGTCATTTATCTTTCTGCAATTTACTTTCTGCATAATCTATTATTTTAGCAAGTATTTTCTTTCAGCAGACTGATGTCTTAACATCTGTCCTGACACTGTATTTTGGCGTTGGGACATCGGTATTAATATTTGTATTACAAGTGCCAGAATTTCAATTGGCCTCAAAGCATGCGCCCTGTTCTTTTTATTGGGTGAGCTCCATGGGGAACATTTTCTGGTGCTCTAGAAGGAGGAGTTGTTAACAGACTACCTATTTTGGATGACACCAACTATGATTACTAGAAGGCTCGTATGATGGCTTTTCTAAATTCTATGGATAACAAAACCTTGAAAGCAAATATCAAAGGTTGGGAACACCTTGTGGTTAAGGGTACAACTGAATTGAAGCCAGAAGAGGACTAGTCTAAGGTAGAAGATGAACATGCTCTTGGAAACTCCAAAGCTTTGAATTCCATATTCCATGGAGTTTATAAAAATATGTTCAGACTGATAAATACATGTATTGTGGACAAAGATACTTGGGAAATTATCAAGACCACTCATGAAGGCACATCTAAGGTGAAAATGTCTAGACTTCAGCTGCTCATAACCAAATTTGAAAGCTTGGAGATGAAAGATGATGAAAGCATTCATGAATTTCATATGAATATTCTTGAAATAACAAATGCTTTTACTGCCTTGTGAGAAAAGATTTCAGAAGAAAAGCTGGTCAGGAAGATACTCAGGTCTCTACCCAAGAGATTTGACATGAATGTGACAGCCATTGAAGAAGCTCAATACATCAACAACATGAGAGCAAGTGAACTTGTTGAGTCACTTCAAACTTTTGAGCTGACTATAAATGACAGATCTGAAAAGAAGAACAAGAGCATAGCTTTTGTATCCAATAATGTAGATGAAGAGGAACAATGTGACATGGGTACTAATGAAGGTTTATCCAATGATATTGTGTTACTTGGGAGTCAATTCAACCAGGTATTGAGGAAAATGGATAGAAGGTCAAGACCAAATATTAAGAACACCAGACCTGGCATTAGCAAGAACTATGATGCTCAAAGGAAAGTTGGAAAAGAAGAAAAGGCCAATCAAAGTAAAGTCAATCATTGCCATGAATGTGAAGGATTTGGACATATTAGAGCAGAATGTCCTACCTATCTCAAGAAATAACTTAAAGGGCTTTATATTTCTTGGTCTGATGATGAAAGTGATACTTATGATGAATCTGCTAAGCCTGTTACGGTCTTAACATGAAGATGGGCTTCTGATGTAGAATCATGTGATGAAGAAATAACTTATGATGTACTGGCTGATTCTTACAAAGAATTATGCATAAAAAGTGAAGAAGTTTGTTAACAAGGAGAAACAAAAGGTAATTATTTCTCAACTGCATGCTGAAAAAGAGAAAATGTCATCTACTGTCTTTGATCTTCAAAAAGAGGTAACCTTGTTTAATTCTAAAGAATGTTGAACAATGGATCTGATGTGTTGGATGAAATTTTTCAAGTTGGGAAATAAGTTAAAATATTTATTGGTATGAGGTTTAATTATCAATCTTTAAATAATCAAAGAAAAACCCATGTGACCAAATTTTTTCCTGCTAAAGTGAAGGATGAGCTCATAATGTCTAGCAAAATGTTACAACATCATGCCATACTTCAGAAAACTCAGACTAAATCCAAGCTCCATCCTTAGAAATGTCATTATTATGGTCAATATGGCCATATAAAACCATTCTGCTATAAATTGTATGGTTATCCAAAACATTCACCTCAACTTAGGGCTAATCATGTAAGGATTAAAACTAGAAAGAAGTGAAAACCTAAGGTTGTTGATACTAGTTCTATAGCCCATAATTATTTTGTGATTGGTGACTTGATCATTAAGAAAGGGACTGATGTCAAAAAATATGTTGGAACATCATCTCAGCAGACTGATGCTCTAGAAAATGAGGTAGACAATGAGTCTATGCCTATTGAGTCCCCTGAAAAATCTCAAGAGGTCGTGTCTGAAGGTAAATCTATTGGTGACGATGAAGATGATTCTGATAATACTGTTTGCAAGGAGATCATGGCTAAACAGGTCAAACAATGGTTAAAGAAGGGCAAACAGTCTGCTAGAAAGTCGAGTATGAAGTATGTTGTGCTTCACAGGATTGCGGCTGTCAATTGGGTTCCCACCAATCATACCTCTACCATTGTTACATGTTTGGGCTGTTGGTGGGAACATATGTCCTAGACATTGTTGTGACATTTGGTAAAGAAGTTGCCAGCTCAACTTTAAGGAAAGGAATCATTGTTGAGCTGAGGGATACATGCAAATATTTAGATAAGTGAAAAGATTTATTTGCTTATGTGTCTCTTTCATTTGTGGGATATGCCTTGCGTGTGTGTTTCCATCTGAGATTTTGTGTTTCCGTCAATGAGTGCTTGTTTCCAATTGTTCGTTTGTGCTTCCATGTGTGTTTATTGCTTGTGTGCAATATGAGTGCTTCCAATTGTTTTTACATTTAATTTATTTTTGCTAATTTTTGTCTAAAAGGGGGAGTAAAGTGTTAGTGTGTTTTTGTTAGTCTGGATTTCATGTCACATGTCTTGACATGTTGACTAACATGTTGATAGGATTGTACTACTGCTAAGGGGAGAGTAGTCTATTGTGGTTTCTTGTTGTATGCAATTATTTAGAGGGAGAATGATTGTCTGTCATGTTTGTTGGTGTTGTTGCTGCTACGGCAGATGGTGGTATGCATGCATGATGTCTTATCAAATGTTGACATCTTGCCTGATGTGTTTTATGAAGAATCCTGATGTGAGGCTTATTTTTCTTATGTTGCATGTGACTCTGATGTATAAACATGGATAATTCATGTTTTGGATTTTCTTGTGATTTGGGTTTTCCCTTTAGGGGGTATTGGTTATGTGTGACAGGGGGAGTAATGAAATTGTTTGAAGTGTTGTGTTGAAGTTGTGTTGTGTGATGTTAGACCACGTGATTTGACATCTGACTTTTGGAGTTTGAAGAAGAGTTATGTGTGAGACTAAGTCTCTCTATAACTGAAATGTATCTCTAATATATTTTTATGTTTGCAGTTTGTACAAAGTTTGCATCTTTTCATGTAGCTTGTATTGTGTGATTGTGGTTTTATTCCTTTCTCCATAATTATTGTGCAAAGGTTGTTTTAGCCAAAATTTGCCGAAGAGGGAGATTATTAGGTCTATGATTTCATGATTGACAACAATTTCGGCAAAACATGTTTCATGTTGAAAACATGTATCACAACCTGATGTTGAGCAAGATGCATAACATCTTGACCAACTGGTATAACAGAGTTTACTGTTACTATTTTTGACAGATGTTCTAACACGTTATACCAGAACATCATATCAATACAGTTGTTTAAATCCTTGAATATTTGATTTTAAAATATGAGATTCTGGATGATTCTAGTTCTCTATATACGTAACATGGCTAGGATATTTTAGGCACAATGCAGATTT